CAGATAGACATCATTCGCAGTTAGCGATGCAAAGGGGCAGGAGAGTGCAGGGGTCAGACGACTACTACTTATAAGTAAGCGTCTTGAGTGGACAAGCTAAGTGGAGAAGGGCCTGAATGGCTCCTCAATGTGTCACAAATCCACATCGTAACTGCGCTTGTACATGGAGGTGACGGATGTGGAGAAAGTCTCGTCCTCGGAGACTGCCGCACCGGATCACGGAGGCTGGAAAAAGCCCGTAGTGGGCGCCTTCTCCCCTCTCAAGAAAAAGGCACACACGACTTAAGCCAAAAATATTCATGTACCAGTGTTTGTCCAATGATCCAGAGACGAACATACATCATACGGGAAATTATTCTCTACGAACTTGAAGTCCATCATTCGAAGCTGCCACCCGTCCGCACCATCCTTACACTGATCCCGGAACGCAAAAGATCCCGAGTAAGGGAAGCGAAGGTAATAAATATCATGATACTTGAAAGTGCGGCAATCAGAAAATGACATAACGGCAGTGGTGATGCGGCTCACAGCAGAGGAGCTTAGACGTAGGACTCGAGCGCAGTTGTAGTCTCGACCATCTTCACCTCCACAACTTCTGTCTCGCCCGGGATCTGGTTGTCCACAAAGTACTCCACGGCGGCGTGAAGCGGGTTGGGAAATATAGAAGTTAAGTACAGGGCGACGAGCGGCTCATCGCGGCCTTTGATGCTACGGCACCAAAAATGGAAGTCAGAGCCTACTTCGCAAGAGGAAGGATGCGCAAGAACATACACGACACGGGCGGCCTTGCCGTTGACAGTGACAGTGAAGCTGCGCCTGGTGTCACCTCTGTACAGCAGTTCAATGGTACCATTGACGGGGATCGCAAAAACGGGCACCACGTCCGGCTGGGGATACTCGAGACGGACTGTGGCACTGTAGAGCGTGTCGTTGACGATCTTGCACTTCGTTTGGGGTCGGACGAAGTCGTCTCCAGAACTGGCGGAGGTGAAATAGTCTCCAAAATTAACGGTATCGCCAACATTAAGATATAAGCTGGAGGCTAACTTAGCGGCTGTCCTGGTAGTATATTGGGACACCAAGCACTACTCACTTGGCGTTAGCGGTTACGTCGCGCTTGGTGAATTTCATGATGTAGTCCGCAGGGAGTAGAGAGAGAGGGATCTTTTGGACGATTCCACCGTTGATTGTAAATGTTCTTTGGATCGGTGCCAAGATTTCCACCTGGACGGGCTGGGAGCCAAAAGAGTTGTTGAAGCTAACAGACATAACTGCAGTAAGAGCTGAAACTAGGAGAGAGGCTGAGGAAGTTCTGAGAGACACACCGTCCACAAACCACTTAAATAGGACGTGAACACGGCGTATGCTCCCTTCTCCAGTCCGGGCTAGATCTCGGAAATATGCCCCAGAGATCTCAATGTCCAACAAATCACGAGATGCGGAGTGTCAGAGACGGGCCTAACCCACGACTGCACCCGCTACTGTATTACTGTATCGCCTGTGACATCGTAGATCTATGGTCAATGTGGAGACTGTATAGAGTGAAGCTACGCCCTACCGGAATTTGCGTTTATTCAACCGGCCTTCCGGAGCTGACCAACTTGCTTGGCGTGTATCCGTCCGCACAGGAAGCTCTATGACAATGGTTCCTGAATTTGCGCTGCAAAACCAGGCCGACAGGACCAGCTTCGTGGACGGCAATATGTGCCACCCGCAGTACAACTTTGGCGACGAACGCTCTGGACGGCATACGTCGGACACAAGCAGCCCGCTAACTCGCGATGGCGTGGATTTTTAGTCTTCTCCGGTTTGGCATACATGCCGATGATGTACGGGCAAGCGATATATTCGACGGTATCTGATTAGATAAGGGCCACCTGATGCATGAGCGCCCGGCCTTCAGTCCACCGGAGATCACGAAGTGAGTGCTTAGCTCTGCGCAGCGCACAATAAGTACCTGCGAGTAAAGGCATCGCAAACTTTACAATATGGCGGCCGCATTGCTGGCCCAAGGCTGGTCAACGATTGACCAAGATTGGCCGCGATCCTGTGCCAGCGTCCGGAGGTTCGGCTAGCATGTCACCCGTGTGAGCAGCCCGGCTCTAGAACTGTATCCTCCAGCCTAGCATTGGCAGCAACTGGATGCGTGCAGACACCGAATGGCGAGCCAAGAATTATTCCGGCACAAGAAGGATATTTTCCGTAGCCCGCCTAGCACCGGCAGGTGAAGGCAATTAGCTGTTCACACACAGGATCCGGCCCGAAACGGAGGATCAAACCTATCGGCGGATCGCGAAGAAGTGCCGGACGGCGTTCCTGAAGTACTACCGCGTCCTAAGGACATCCATTGAGTGCTAGCGAAGTATAAGATGAAGGACAGCTCAGCTCGACCAGCCATCACTCAACTCAAGACTCAGCTACCAAGCGACAAAGCAGCAAAGCAGACATGGCCACCCGCAACCTTTCCTTCATCACCACCAAGGCTCAGGGTGTTAGCGAGAACACGAATATTCTCCTGACATTCGTCCCTGTCGATGAAACTGACCTGTACATCAAGCAACGTAAGTACATGCACCCGTTTGTAGGGGTAGCTAGGACTGACTAGCTGATCGTGCAGTTCCTGTCGCATGGAAGGTCCTCAAGTTCGCAGCGAACCGTACATGATTTTGCCTTCCCGCCTTTACCTGCAGCTTACGCTGGATACAGAGACGCAGACCGTCAACGTGACCTACTCTGCTAGGCTTGGCGTTGCTGTGGCCCAAATTGTACGTGCACTGTCAACGGCACGAACGGGATCGCATTTACAAGTGCCTTTCGTTGTAGGACTCGGGCCTAGTCCAAGTTCCTCAGACGTGAGTACCTCGTGCTGTTGAGTAGTTCAAATGGCTGATCGTTCGTATGTTCTTCAGTTTCCTCGAGATGGGAGTAAGTACAAGTCTGACTTGACTATGAGAAATACTGACAACGCATAACTGTGTATCTCAGCTGGGCCAGACGGTACGTAAGAGCTTATGTGTGTGGGCTAAATCTGACACGAATTTAGACCACCCTCACTATGGATAGCGATGACTTCGTCATGTGGTCTGAGCCCTCGCCCAAGCCCGCGCCTGGCACAGGCACGATTGTCGCCGACAACGACAGCGATCGCAGGCAAGACCTCAGCATCGGTGGGTGGTCCCACGGGCCCGCGCATTCTGCTGAAGTGCTGAGAAAGCCCCTGCAGGCACTGTCGACGGTACGAATAGGTTCCAGCCCGTTCTCGTCTGGAAGAACGTGAACGCCGGTTCCAACATGGTGGCGCGCTTCACCCCCAAGGTCAGTCATATTGTGGGGGTGGTACTACATGCGGATACTCATCTCGGCGATCAACAGCTGCGCGCTTACGCATACAAGGGCTACCAGGGTACGTTACTACTTTCGATGAGGCAGCATGGGTTTCCTTACCTTTTCAACGCAGAGACCGCCATTATCCAGGGTGAGATTCAGACCGGCCTGCTCGGGGAGTGGGATCTCGCCAAGTTGGACGCCAGCCCCAAGACAAACACCTTCCACCTTTACGAAGATGATGCTCGCGGTGGAAGGCTCATTTTGGTTTTGGACCTGTAAGCGGCGTCAGCATTTTTGGGACTGATGTCGTGGTTAGAAAGGACTTCTCCATCTAATTGACACATATATGCGCCTGCTTTTATATGCCGTATGCTATGCGAAATGTTGCGATCATTTGCGAGGGGCTATGTCATGGCTGAGAAGAAAGTGCTACCATGGGACGCTACGATTAGTCCTGAACTGCTGAATAGGTGAATGTCACTCTGAAAAGCCGCGAAAACGAGTTCTCAGAATCGGGAGAGATGATGGCTGGCGTGAAGGTCAGACAGCCTGTAGAAAGTCACGAAAGCTTCGGTAAATAATATAATCTCCATGGGATAATTAAACGCAGGATAAGACTCAGCGAAGGCGCAAAGGATCCGTAGTTTACAGATCAGCTCAGAGTACAATTTGGCATAAGTGTATCTCTTTACGACAAAGTTGAATTCTTGTCTTTTCATCGCCGCATACCAAACGAGCTCGACCCGCACGGTGGGCAGAGGTCTGTATCCGGGTCTTCTTTGAACGAGTATCGAACTGTCAAGGGATATCAGCGGACGCTCAGCCCAAACACGGCGATGAAGACTCACACAACGCATCCGAACCACAATCAAACACTTCCCCGAAGAAATCCTCGAGGTGGTACGCCTGTTTCGGCCACCTCACTGTATCATAGTACTCCATCAAGTCCGGATCGGAGTTGTCATCCTCATCCTCATATTCATCATCATCGTCCTCGTCCACGACGTCCATTTCCTCGTCCTCGTCCTCGTCCGCCTGCTCGGATTCAGGCTTCTTGCGTTTCGGAATACGCGCCTTGCGGTACCCGTGCAGGCCACCCATGCGGTCCGCGTACTCACACATGGTAGATGCATAGAGTGTCGTGTCCGTTGCACTCCACGCTAGCGAGCGTACGTGGTTGTTGCCAGTAGAGAGCTCGTAGACAACCTTCTTGGCACGGATGTCCCAGAGCCTGATGCTTTGAGTGGTTGTGCCGCCAGTAAAAACCGCTGCAGGATAGTCAGGGTCAAACACTCATAGAATAAGGTGCGAGCGGCGTACCGGGCAGCCCGTCGATGTGCACGAACAACGCCGCGTCCATGGGGCCATTCTGCGCCTCTCCGTCTATCGTCAAGGTGGGTAGCGGCTCTCGCATATCGTACAGCCGCGCGTGACCGTCCTCGCAGGCGGTCAGGAAAGTATTGGGCTCTTCGGCACTCGTCGAAATTTGTTCAACTTGTGCAGCATGGCCGAGATACCGTGCTGCAACCTTGCCGCCATGCTCGAGGTCGAGCGAGACGCACTCGAAGCGATCGACCTCCCTCGTGTCCTCGGCGCAGAGCATATTTCCCGACGGAGCGTGCAGGCGCCATATTCCGGGCGTGTACCCGCTCTCGGCGAATGTCAGCGTAGTGTGTGCCGTGCTGCCGATGGACTTTTCCTTCTTGCAGTCCTCTTCGCGCCAACTGTTCTCAAAGCCCTTGTAAGTGCCTTCGCCGATCTTAGTATACTCCTTGCCCTCGCCGGGATAGTGCGTCTCGAGCTCGTCGACATTCCACACGAGCGCGGAGCCCACACCCGCGCGCAAGATACGTCCGTTCGGCAGGACGGTGAGAGGCCCGGTGTGCGTGTCTGCCTTCAGGGTATGTACCGCGCGCTTGCGCGTGGCAGGCGCGAAGCTGTAGGACTTGATACGATCAAAGTCTGCGACGAAGAGCAGCTGGCGCGCGTCGTCGAGGACAATATCCTGGATGAGGTGCGCAAGTGGAGGGTTCAGGCTCTTGATGTCGAGGTCCTCCGTACCTCCCGGCCAGTAGTACACAACCGGGTCGCGGTTCTTCCAACCTGTTGCACCGGACATGACTAGCAAAGAGCCGTCCGCGGAGAGCGCTAACTTGTGAACAGAGGGAATCCCTTCATTAATAATTTCGCAGCGCGCCTGCCAAACGTAGTTCGCGCAAGGGTGTGTGGTCTGTGAGGGAAAAACAGCGTTCTCGCGGAAACGAGAGAGGACGGCTGACTTAGGATGTGGTTGCTGGTCTTCATCCCATGGTATAATTAGAGGACCAGAATTCGTAATATAGTCTGACTATGGATTAGATATGCACCATAATAAAAGGGGAAGATAATGTACCATCAACCTTACTCACGTCGCCGAAACCTTCAATCAGCTTCTTCAATATATCCTGCACTTCATTCGATGATCTAAACCAGGATCTAGCAAGAAAAGGAATACGTAACGCACTATTTACAAGAAACATTTTCTTCGCCAGCGAATCCTTTAGCAAGGTATTCGGCGCATGTGCGAAAGATCTGATGTAGCAGGGCCCCCAGCCAGCCTTGACTTCCTTGGAGACAGCGTGGTTGATGAACGCGTTCGCTTCGCCAAATAAAATCTCTAGATCAGCGACGTTCTGCTCACGCGCATGACGGAGTAGCTTGTAGGTGTCCTCAAGGATGGCGACCATGGTTTCGAGCGGCTGGTCGCGCAGCCTGTCGTCGTCGTCTTCGTCGTCGCCGTCCATGAGCTCGTGGCTGGCATGATAGTCGAGCATGCGCGACTTGAGGAGATCAAGTTGTTCCGTCCAGTTCATCTGTGGAGAATACAAAGCAGAAGGGCGGATGGGAGAGATAGATGTCGATAGGAAGGCGCGTCCTCCAAAGCCCGAAGCGCCCATTTAGTTCTCGCGACGCGTTTGATCTCAGATCCGAGTCGGCGATTTGACGCGTCCACGCTGGGTCATACTGTAATTCATCTTCTGAGAATTATACCAACTACGCTGTCTATGGCGGGACATGTTTAAGAGAGAGAGGGAAGAGAGGCACCAAGACGCCGTAGGTATACCAGGGAACAGACGATACCGGCGATACCAAGGGCGATGGGATAAAGATTCAAAGTACGTTCGGACTTCGCAATTCTCCAGTCCTGCATAACGTCTAGGACCGTGAGCACATGCTTAAGCTCCAGCCTCGAGCTCTCGGCTGACGCGATAGACTTTGCCGTGCCGACTGCATTCTTGATCTGTCAAGGACAATTAGCCGAGGAGGGACGTTACACGTTAAAACGACAAACCTGGCGTCCGTTCAGCTGCTTCTGGGAGAGGCGCACCAGATTGTGCTCGCCGATCTCCGCATCAGCAATGCCTGCCTTGGCTAGGAATGTTCGCCAGACCTGTTTACGGGAAGCGAAGTCCAGTTCAGAGTACATCATACAGAAGTGAATTCGACCTGGACACGAAATGAGTCCTGAATAGTTTCGATAGACAATAGAGGAACGGCCTACTTTCGAAAGCAGGGTCGATTTGCTTGATCAGGTTTGTGGTGAAAATCAAGATGCCCGGGTAATACTCGACCCGCCTGAGGAAGATGGAGACCAAGGCGTTTCTAGAAACATCAGTCTTGTCTCGCTCCTGCAAAAAGACATCTGCTTCGTCCAAGAGGACAACAGCATCCCAGCGCTCCCCAAGCTGCAGTACCCTCCTCAAGGAGCTGTCGGCACTCAAAGGGCTAGTGCCCAGCTCGCCTGCACTGACCGCATAAAGAGGCTTTTTGGCGATTTCGGCAACCGCCTCCGCTGTGAGGGTCTTTCCACATCCGGGGGGTCCGCAAAGCAGACCAACAAGCCCTCTGCCCTTTCCTGCAACAACGTCGTCGAAGTTCTGCTGGGAGGTATGCTGCGTGACGAGAGAACGTATGAGATGCTTTTTTTGCTTTCCCATAACAAGTCTCTCGAATGGTTCTTCCGACCAGTCCACTTCGGCGATTCTGTCAATTGCGAAAGCACCTATATTGCGAAGTCAGTCTCAGGCACAACTGAAACAGCCGGTAAGGCACGTACCCCACAATTTCGTAGTGAAGCAGAAACCAAGAACCACTGGGGTGCAGATGAGAAGTTCTTCCTCCGATAGTTGTTCGGGGTCGAGTTCTCTGTAGACCTCGGGAGCAAATCGTCTCTGATGCCCGAATTCGAAGAACGACTCGACGTCGATCATAATGCGTTCGTTGATCTTCATATATTGACTGTAAATCAGCGATCGTGAAGCATAATCGTTGCATGAGACTGACCGTCAGCTTCAAGTTCGTCTCGCTGTCGACGTGGACTGTGGCTATGCCATGGTGCTGATAGCAGTGCAGGCGTAGGTCTGCATACCGCTGCCCTCGAGAAACAGCGTCGCGGTACAAAGCTTCATGACCTGGGTAATACTCGAGAGGATATACTGGCAGTTCGTGAATGGAACGCGCTCCAGCAAATTGTTGGATTTCGAAGTCGTAAGAAGCCAGGCCGAAGTCAACATAGTCGCGGGCGATAATATCGCATTCTACCTTGGCATATGTACCAGTCTGCGTCCTCCCATACGTGAGCTTCCTCGCGTGCGCGACGAAATGCTGGTCCGTGGCATCGTGATAGGCATAAACATACACGTTTGGGCGGAAGAGAGCCCAAAGATATTCGAATGTGATCTGTTGTTGGCTAATGAGGGCGTTGTAGTCCTGTATTGTTCCGGTGAGATCTTCGCGGACGAAGCGCAGAGCCGCTTGGATCCCCTCGACGAGGTCTTGATCCTGGGGATCTTCAGCCTCTTCCAGCTCCCGTAGCTTGTCTTCCAGCTGCGTGTGGGAGTGAAATAACACGTTTGTATCGATCTGTGCCGACGTATCTTAGACTTGTTTCTTCGAACAATGGTACTCGATGATATTTACCGTCGGCGTTCGGGCAGTCAGCTCGAGCCCTCTAACATTCCTATTGATCTCCAGTAACACAGTCCGCAAGCCTTCATGATAGATATCCAATTGTGTACCCTCAAGCTGTCCTCGGGAGTCGATGTGACGCTTTACAAGGATGATAGGCTTTTTCTTCTTTAGCTTCTCCGCAATGACTGGCCTGTGCGTTTTACGGAGCTCGTATCTCGAAGTACGCCTACGCGAAGGTTAACATGGTGCGTCTAAATGTATAGCCGACGCTGCATACTGATTAAAGCTAACAACATTTCAGTTATGCGACGACAGTGGTAAATATGGCGGAGCACCTACAACATATCATATCGGGCGATTTGAGTGCGACGTTCAGGATCACCCTGTCGTGCAGGGGCGGCTTGACCGTTCTCTGTGGGACGTGCGTCGGCGGAAAGAGGTGGTGGCGTGTTCATGGTCGCAGGGTCTGTGAGGTAGCGAGCAACTAGCTGGGAGCGAAGATGTGAACGGGAGAGACGACAAAAGTGCCAGCGAACTTTCCTCTGAAGCTGTGAGCGCTATGAGTCGACCAATGTGCTTTCCCATTACATCTTCGCAGCAAGTATAGTCGGAGTATGGCCGGGGGCGATGTTGGCTTCCATGCTTCGATATCTAACATGCAGTGTAGCTCCCAGCCAGGGTCCGAGCGCTTCGCCTGTGTGCACAGCAGACTGAACATAAAGTCGTCCGCTGACATCGAGTAACCATGACCTTTCTTCATTCTGCGTGGTTGTCATATCGCACAATTCGGAGGCGACGTTCGCAAACCAGGCATGTTGCGGTATCGATATCTTCAGGGTCAGCAGGTATCTGTGATATGTCACGGGAGCGGACATTATTGGCTCCACAAAACTAATACAAGATGAAGTATTAATGATGCATGCAAGCGGGTCGGAACGTTCATAGTAGGCTGTTCACGTTCACGAAACCGTGTTGGGCGTTGAAGATCTCAAGCTGTCGGGCGCTAAGGTGTTATTTACCTCTATTTGGAGTCCATCCATGTTTGTCGAGTGAAACCATCCAGACGCACCCGATGCGCATCATGTTACTGTAAATACTGTACATGCAAGTATTGGGTAAGTCGCGGATTGTTGCCTCAGACTGGCACCGTACTGAAGTTGACCGTGGGGACCCCAAAGATTGTGCATCAAGCATCATGGCACTGCGCGCAGCACTGGATGCTTCCGAGTGGTGCAGGGAAGTTAACGTTCGTAGTGACTCGATGCTCCGAAGCATGTGTTCTGGCTGTGCACAATTATCCCGAAGCACGGAAGGCACCAACCTTGATATCTTTCACAGGGCGGAATCGTGTCCAGCGCCAGTCGCTTCGTCGCCCTCAGAAAGCATCGATTAGGACGTACACCTTGCCCCACATCTCCTAATCCTCTCTTACTATTTACATAGGTGAATACCACTGTCGACCTCTGATTCATATTGGTCATTAACCCCCCTCCCCTCTGTGCAGCCAATCATGACCGTTGGACCATACAACGGAACCGTTCAGTATGTGTATAAAGGAGGGACCGTGACTTTCTCTGAAAGCTATCGAATTCAGATCCAAGTCCTTCGTTCAAAATGCTCTGCAGCAGTATCTAAAAGATTTGGACGAGAAATCTAAAGCCAAGGACTTCTTCACTCAATTCTACGACGAAAGCAAGCCGCTTAAACCCAGCGAGATCAACCGTATTCTCCAGGCTAGTGTTGATGAGCGTTGGACGAAACCATCGACAACTAGAGGAGTTCTCTCCGCCGTTGCCGTTGCGCAGAAGGAGCTTGACGGTGTTGCAAATGCACTAAGTGAGCCTTTATAGCCGACATGGAGTTATGTGCTTAATCAGGCTGTCCAACAGCGCCGCTCGATCCAACACCTGCGTCGAGCATAGTGTGGTCTTGCATTGGTGCCCTTGCAGCCGTAAGTTCGCCTTGAATCATGCTTGAATCTCGTAACGCTGATGCTGGTTCCAGGTTGTTGACCGATACTACGAGATCCCTGACAAGATTGCGGAGGCGCTTGATGATCTGAAGGACACTCTTAATCGGCTGCCTAACTATGAGCGTCTCTGTCTTTTCGAAGGGTCTTCCGACCTGGAAGAATCGCTCTGCCAATCTTACGTGGACATCTTTTGCTTCTGGAATAAAGTGTATGAAGAACTTCGCCGTTCAAGTAAATCTTCAGCGCTCAACTTACGCTTTCATCTTTGTTGCTGATACTGACTGTGCAGAGGCCAGGAAGATCGTTTCCGCTCTCTTGCCATTGCACAATTCCAAACTGGACAAAACCATAGGCAAAATGCGCGCGAACACGAAGAGAGTAGAAAGCCAGATCAAGTACTTGCAGGAAGCACGCAATCGACAGAAAGAATTTGGCAAGTGTATACACATCTCATGATACGCCAAACACTTACTAACACTCTGCAGAGGCGACGGTGCGGAATTTTCTCGGATGGAGGATACCTGTACCCGTTGGGGACCGGCGCCTTTCTTCCCAGAGTGTTGAACAGCAATGCTGCCGCTGGGTCTTCGAACACGATGTATACCAGGCGTGGCACAAGAGTGAGGATCCCCCTCCCCGAGCACTATGGGTGCACGGTCCTCCAGGGTCTGGCAAGTCCGTACTTTGCTGGAGCGTAGTTCGTTCCATAGAACAGGAGCAGCCCTCTGTCGCAGTGATCTCCCATTTCTTCCGATTCGACCAGAGTTACACCACATTAGAGGTGCTCAAATCGCTTGCCGCGCAGCTGTGGGAAACATGGCTATCGCGCCACCCCTCTGACTCCGACCTCCTTGATACCCTCGTTCATCTCGTAGAGGACAAGACCATGGATCCCTTCTCGCAGGTCCTCTCAATCTTGAAAGCGCTGGTCCAGACTTTTCCCGTAGTATACTTCTTCATCGACGGAGTCGACGAAGAAGTGACTAAGAAGACAAGTGCTCGTTCGGATAATGAGCACCACGGCCCTCCGAAGCATGCACTCGGGGTTCTGGACGAGATTGAGAAGTTTATCGCGTTGAATGCGGAGGGACACACGGCCCTCCGTCTCTGGGTTAGCTCTCAAGACGTCCCCTACACCAGGCAAAAGTTCAAGGCGTACAGCCCCTTCGATATCAAACACGCCGTTAAGGCTGGAGTCAGCTGCTATCTTTCCCGCGCTATCAGTCACCTCACCGTCGTGCCACCCGAACGACGGGAGGCCATCCTACACCAGCTGCTCGATCGTGCAGAGAGCAATTTCCTGTGGGCACATCTCATAGTCGTGGAGCTCAGCAAGACCTCTGACGTGGACGAGATGGACCGGGTTCTGAGGGAAGGGCGTGCGGAGAACTTGGACCAATACTATGGAAATTTTTTCAAGAATTTATTGAGCGACGGCAAAGCCTCGAAATACAGGTATGGACGGCTTATCATGTCGTCCGCAGCCCCGCGCTCATATTGCAATTTGCAGCGACGTGTTCTCTCTGGTAACATTTGCGAGGCGACCGCTCAGGATCGGTGAGATTCAGGAGGCCGTGGCGATCCTCAAAAGCGATGGTGAAGAACTCGACAGCCGGAAAATGCCCTTCCCACCCAAGCTCTTCGAACTATTCTCCCCTCTCATCGAAGTACAGGATGACCACTCCGTCAACACGCGTACAGACTCGTCTTCATCTCGAACTACACGCGACTCGGATGATATCGATTTGGCAAAGTCATGCCGGCTTTTTCATTCTACGCTCTTCGACTTTTTGCGCAGACACGCGGATCTTCTCTGTGGCGACGAGGCTAGTTCGAGTGACGAGGGGGGAAAGGAGAGTCAGACATACACAGACTTTCGTGTTTGTCCGCTGCGAATCGCAGACGCTTGTCTTCGATATCTCTCGCAGGCCAAATACTCGCAGCTTCTGAGACGGCAGACGAACGGCTGGGTCGATAGAGATGGATACCCCGTCTCAGAACAGCACTTCCTTACGTATAGTGCGAAAAACTGGGATAAGCACCTCGACCTAGTTCGTCCCGACGGCGAAGACTTTGTCTTCCCATCTTTCGTTGCCTTTGCTGGCGCCTTGGCGAAAATCGCGATTCAATACCAAGGACGTGTGCAAGAATTCCTCAGCTCATCCAACTTCCAGACCTGCATTCAGGTGCAGAGCTTGTGGATCGCTGGTTCGTTCAGCCCGTACCGAGTGCGCGGAGACTATGCGCCGGGTCGCGTCTGGGTGCAGCGAAGTCTCCCGCGCTGGCTTGGAATGAGCAAGTACGGCAGAGATTACCATCGCTTCTGGTGGGACTGGCACCTGTTCCTTTCTTGCGTCAACTGCGATGATCTGGCTTGTCCGTTCCGGGCGTGCATGGGAGAAGTAGATCGATGCTGGTGGGGATCCATGGGGTCCTCCAATTTCCTGTCGAGATCGCAGAGCCGCTATCACTCCTTCCGATTCAGCTTGGCGGACGACGACGACAGCCATGACGACGACGACGACGAGGAGGCATCAGCGATTCGTCTTGACTACCAGACTGCGCTTGCTACACGGGACGGTGTACAGGTTCTACGACTCATGTACGCGAGCATCATTGGCGTTATACTGATACGGACCGCTGACCAGGGTTTTATTGTAGCTCTGCCTCTGGTGGACAACTGAAATTCACTCTGGAGACGTGGACATACGGCGCGGACATGTCTCCGACCTCTCCGAAATCCCAGAGCTTCCAGGTCGACGAGACTTCTTGCAACGCGTCGTTATATGCTGCCAATGGCACTAATGGCACGAAATCGTACAGGATGTGCGGAAGCGGAGGTGCGCCTATTGCTTCCTTCAGCGACGACGGCCAGTGCCTTCGCATCGGCACACAGCTATATCTCGCCGACGACAGCAATGAGTACCGCATCTTTGCCAGCATAGTCGCGCAGGAGGAAGAATATATAGAGGAGATCGCGGGATACGAAGGTGTCGTGGCGATTGCCAGCCGGCGAACCGCCTCCGCAGCCGCGGATGAAGGTTGCAATCCTACGCAAACGAACCAAGCTGCCTATCCACAGAAGGATGATAGCGACAGCGACAGCGAGTGGGCGGAGACTGACGACGAGGACGTTTCCGAGTCATCTAGCGTGTTCGATGATAAAGGATACGAGACATGGAGTGAATGCTCCTCCGCAGATGCCGGACCAGACAGTACCGAGGACGAGTCGGGCTCAGACTACGTGCACACCCCGGGTGATCAAAGCGAAGCCGACAGCGACTCATCCGACTCCGAGGTAGACAACAGCGACGAAGAGATTCACGATGACGCACAGCCAACGCAGGATGAGGATCGCGATTCGGTTAGCAGCGGCGGTTATGCAGACAGTGACGACGGTATCGATCCTTCAGCTTTCGCTTTCGGACAGGTTCGTCCGTATGCGGACAAAGATTTGTCCAGGCGCAAGAGGCGAAATGGAACGAAGACTTCAAACGGCTCTACCTCTCCCGAAGAGAAGCAAGTCTCGATCCGCGTCTTCACGTCTGAGGGGAGACTCTTCAATTTCCGCAGGAAGATCTCATCCACCCTTTCTAACTCTCCCCCAGTCCTCCATCCGATCGAACCTCTTCTCGTTTGGCCTATTGGAGGATGGGATGTCCTTTTCGCTGACTACGAGGATAACACCTACTTCGTTCGTGAACTTGGCGCGACGTCTAGTAACGGTAAGTGCGGTCAAGCACTTCTACAGACTACCTGTCGTTAATTCTCCGATGCAGCGTCCAACCTCCTCATGAAATGTCGCTTCACAGAAGATGGTCGCTATCTCCGTGTCGCGGCTTTCGAAGGCCGCCAAGTACAGGCTCAACACCCGGAGGAGGACGCACAGACGCATGTTACGATGCTCGTGCACTCCTACCGGCTCTGCTCTCAGAAGCCTACACGAACACCACCGACCTTGGTCCATACGTCTCGGATCGATCTTGGCGAATTTGAACGCTCGCAGCTTTGCCCACGGCTACCTTGTACGCTAACATGGACCAATGATCACGTATACGTGACCTGGAGTGGACTGACACTTGTGGTGTACCGTATCCCACTATTCCACCAACAGGCACGCGACGTCTCCAACCTCGACATGGAGGTGCGACACCCGAAGGAGACTATACTCTTGCCAGCAAGCGCGAAAAACCGCGACGTCTTCTTTTTCCCAGCAGAGGCCACGCCCTTCGCGCAGGTTATCATCGGCGGTCCGGTTATCAGGGAGAAAGTGGCAGTCCCGTCCGCAGGCGATCTGACAACCCCTCTTGGGTGTCTCTTGCACCCGGAGGATCACTTGGGCGGATGGCTGACTGCGGAAAATGCTGCAAAGAAGTCGCGGTACAGGGAGGCTGGCCAGTTCAACGTGCCCCTGGAGCAATTTGATCCTGACGTGGACTGTGTCCGTAAGTGCTGGTTCACATCTGCCGCACGCAATGATTACTGATCACGCACTTCTGGCAGTGGAGCCTTTCCTCTGGCAGGGATGATGAACCCAACCCACCTCACACTATTTATGTAACCCTCAGATGTATTATGGCCATCCCCCAGATTCGTGCTCAAACACTTCTCCTTCCCGTCGTACCTCCCCATTAGAGCTTTCGTGTTATTCTCTATACTGCGTGTCATATCGATGATCAGCCAACTGTGCCTGTTACTTGGCAGATATCTCCAGTGCGCGACATGGAATAAGAAATGTGCGAGAGAGACAAGACTCGCTAGGAAGACGCGTTCTGCAGGATGCCTGCTGCTCGGCGGCGAGAAGTAGTAGATCCGATAGAAGCTCTGATAAGATTACTTACAGCCCACCGCAGGCGCTCACAAGCTGCACCTGTACTGCCCTCTCTCAGCTTCTGGGCATCGTATGCACTCAGACTTTTGAATATTTTTATTATTTTTATTATTTTTATTTGGCTTTGAGCACAGGTTGCGTCCTTTGATGCGTCCCCGGCTGCCCTCTCAGGCCTCTCTCCCTGTGCAATGACTTTGACGCTGTTGTGAGATCAGTCTGGAACCAAGACTGAGCATCCGAGCGGCATATCCCATCTCACTTCAGCTGTATTTGCCACCTCGTTTCCCTACCCCGGTTCCCCCGCAAGTGAGATAGTACAATATTACTTTCCTCGACGTGTAAAATCGCGGCGTTACTGAGCTTCGGCGCTAGCCTTCGAACTTCATGCACATGACATCTCCAAGGCTAAACATCGGACATTCACCGCGAGCCCTGCCCGTACCCCACATCACATTTTGTCATGGGTACTAGTCTCAGCACTCACTACGTCCCTCCTTCTGCTCCCGACAACCACCATCAGGAGACACCCAAGCCATGAAGCTCGCCGTGACAGGCTGCAACGGCAACATCGGGAGGCGCGTGTGCATGCTCGCCCTCAACGCCGGCCATACAGTGCACGGCATCGACAGTGCCCGTCCGTCCGACCACCCAGCATTCTTCGTTCACTCCAACTTTGTCTTCTCACAACTCGATCTGCGCGACTACGCCCAGACCGTAGACGCCATCACGGGCTCCGACGCCATCATCCACCTCGCCGCCATCCCGACCCCGACCGACTACCTCGTCCACACACACAACACGTAAGCGATTCCTGCAAACCGTGTGCCGTGCTTGCACCCCAATACTGATCCAGCGGACGCAGGAACGTGGTCATCTCCTGGAATGTCCTGCGAGGCGCCGCAGAGGTCAGGGCCCTTGTGGCGTACAACCCCAGTTGGAGATCGTGCTGACGTACACCCCGTCGCCCACAGCTCGGGATCAGACGAATCGCGCAAGCATCCTCTGTGAACGTCGTCCAGCTCGTCTGGAGCAAGCAGCCGACGTTGCACTACCTCCCGCTTGACGAAGACCATCCGCGCGAGCCCGACGAGCCATATGGGCCTCTCCAAACTGTGTGCTCCCTCTATTCTCTCCCAAGTTCTT